TGTGTGTGTGTGTGTGTGTGTGTGTGTGTGTGTGTGTGTGTGTGTGTGTGGTGGGGGCTCACTATTTGGAACTCTGCCTGTTTTTGTAGCATGGCAAGATTACATGCCATTTTCATTTTTATTTGCTATGTTTTCCTTTTTCTATATTCTTTTTGTTATTTGTGAATAACAATTTGTATTAACCTTGTATAATCTGATTTTCTTAATATGGTCTTTGTTATGGTCTGCCGGTGGCCTGCAGAGCTGGCAGCAGAGTCAGACAATGAGGAGGTTGGGGAGGAACATGGGCCAAACCTGGAGACTGGGGAAGGCTTGGACAAGGGCCCTGTATTAGAGGCAGAGGGGGTCAAGGCCATCTGGTAGTTATTTGCTGCCTCTAGAATCTGACATCAGTGAGGCAGAAGAACAGCGGGAGCCTGTTCCCAGTGAGCATATGTCAGAGCTGTCAGAAGGTGAAAACAATTAAGAAAACAGGATTGACTCAGGAGTAAGGCTTGGAGATGATTGGCACCTCCCATAAGACATAAAAGAGGAGCGAACGGGACATGAGCTTTTACAGAAAGCAATTAGTTCATCTGGTCAGGTCAACCTTTAAAAGTGATGTTTGACTCTGATCTAAGTTTGGCCTTGTTCTGTATTTGGCAATTAAGTCTCTGGCAGCATTCCTGTGGAGATAAGGTGAATGTTTATCAACATTCTCCTGAAAGATTGTGGCAACTTGAGCAGACATCTGTCAGAATCTTCACAGACTGTTTGTAAAGCATTGCAGACCTTTGAATGACTAACCCTACCTACTTAGTCTTTCTTTTCTTTATAGCTTGGATATGGTTCTTCTCCTGTGATTAATGACCCATCCCAGCAAGCCTTCTTCCAATGGATGTTCCCTAATATTAATCAACAGTATGCAGGAATTATCCAGCTGCTTTTGCTTTTCACGTGGATTTGGATTGGTGTCATTTTTATACATGATGATAATGGTCTCAGGTTTGTGCAAAACTTCCTAAATTTTCCCAGCGTGGCATCTGTTTTGATTTTATTGAACCATTGCCAACCTTATATTTTAAAACTGGCATCCATGAAATGATAGAATCCTGGGTCAAAATATACAAATTTATAATTAATAGCCCAGCCACAGTTGTGTTCTTACATGGTGAAATTCACACCATGATCTTTCTGAGGATGTTTCCCAGAATTTCAGAAATCGAAGACATATCAATGAAGAGAAGCAAAATTTGGATGATGACTGCACAGGTGGAGTTCACTTCCATTCCCTTTCAATGATCTTGGCATCTAGATATAGTCCATGGTACCCTAGCCTTTGCAATTTACTCCCAGGAGCTGGTGGATTTCCAAAATTTTCTTTAGATGAGAAACCCTAATGTGGAAACCAGAGATGGTTTTATTTTTTAAAAAAGTAATGTTTATTAGTTATACAAATTTTTTAAAGAGTAAAACATACAAATACAAATACAATTTTAAACATAAAACCCCCCTCCCCGCCCCGCGGTGACAGTCATTCACAGCCCAACTTTTTTTCCTTCCTCATTGTTTAGTCTCTAAGCTGCATCTTCTCATTACAAAATTCAGGGATCTATTACAATACCCATGTTCACTTTTAGTTCCCATTGTTAACAACTGCTATTTGACTTTCCCTGTTTTAAGTTCCTGCTGTTCTCCTTGTCGCCCACATATACCATAGGTTCCAGCTAAGATAATGTTCCGTTTCTCCTTTGTCCCTCAGCCAACCCGTCATTCTGTCCATTTCTGCATATTCATAGATCTTTTTAATTATGGCATCTTCCGACGGTATGGTAGTAGATTTCCAAAATTGTGCATAAGTTATTCTTGTGGCCACAATTATATGTAGACTCAAATGCCATATTGATTTACTCATGTTTTTTGGTTTTATGCTTAATAAAAAATTCTCGGGTTTCCATTCCGTGCTTGCCCCAGTAACCTCTTTAAGCCATTTTTGAATCCTTCTCCAGTATTTCGTGGCCTCAGTACAAGACCACAAAATATGGTAGAATGTGCCATCCCTTCTTCCACATTTCCAACACAGTGGAGATAACCCAGGAAACATTTTGGCTAACCTCATTGAGGGGAAGTGCCATCTATAAACCATCTTGTATATGTTTTCTTTAAATGCTGTAGATATTGTAAATTTAATAGTCTTACTCCATAGATCCCACCATTTGCCCATTTCAATCTCATAGCCAAAGTTTCTCTCCCATGCTATTAGAAGGCTTTTATCCATCTCTTCTTTAACATCTTGACAGGTCAAAAATTGATAAATCTTCGATAACATTTTCTTATCTCCGCCAAAGAAAATCTTATCTAG